ATGTCTTCCTATCCGCCCTGGACAAACCCATTGCAGTGTAATGGGGGCCCGACACAGTATGAGGCTGTTCAGACAGATGCCCTCTTGCCCTCTCCCAACGTCCTCTGCTAAGCTGGCCTGAGGGCAGACTTGAGCTGAAAGTGTATGCAGCTTCCAAGGGCTGGTAAAAGGGAGATTTGTCTCAGCTTTTTGCAGATTCTGTGCTAGACTCTGGACCCCACAGCCCAGATAAGGAGAGCAAATTTTCTATGAACTTTACTGCTGTCAAAGATGGGTAGGATTAGCCTCAGCGAGATGGCTCACGCCTGTAATCCCAGCTCTCGAGGAGGCTGAGGTGGGTGTATTGCCTGAGCTCACAAGCTCAAGACCAGTCCGAGCCAGAGTGAGACTCTGTCTCTAAAAATAGCCAGGTGTTGTGGCAGGTTCCTGTAGTCCCAGCTACTCAGGAGTCTGAGGCAAGAGAATTTTTTTGAGTCCAAAAGGTTGAGGTGGCTGTGAGCTATGATGGCACAGCACTGTACCAAGGGGGACAAAGTGAGACTCTGTCTCAAAACAAAAACAAAAACAAACAAAAAACAAATTTAAAATGGAGATGATAATGATAGTACCTATCTCAAAGGGCTTTTGTTGTTGTTGTTGTTGTTTGTTTGTTTTAGTCTGTCTCACTTTGTTGCCCTTGGTAGAGTGTCTACCAAGAAACTTTTCTGGACCTTGCCCTGTGTCCCCTTTCATCTGGCTGTTCATTGGTATCATTTATTTATTTATTTATTTTTCAAAACAGAGCCTCAAGCTGTTGCCCTGGGTAGAGTGACATGGGATTACAGCTCACACCAACCTCAAACTCCTGGGCTCAAGCCAGTCTCCTGCCTCCACCTCCCAAGTAGCTGGGACCACAGGCACCCGCCACAATGCCCAACTATTTTTTGGTTGCAGCTGTCATTGTTGTTTGGCAAGCCCAGGCTGGATTCAACCCCGTCAGGTGTATGTGGCTGGCACCTTAGCCACTTGAGCCACAAGCACCGAGCGATCATTTATTTTTTTATTTTTTAGAGACAGAGTCTCCCTTTATTGCCCTTGGTAAAGTGTTGTGCTGTCTCAGCTCACAGCAACCTCCAACTCCTGGGCTTAGGCAATTCTCTTGCCTCAGCCTCCCAAGTAGCTGGGACTACAGGCGCCTGCCCAGCTATGTTTTTGTTGCAGTTTGGCGGGGGCCGGGTTTGAACCCACCACCCTCGGTATATGGGGCTGGCGCCTTACTCACTGAGCCACAGGCGCCACCCACATTTGTATCATTTTCAGTAAACCCTCAAACATAAGTAAAGTGCCTTCCTGAGTTCTGTGAACCAGTCTAGCGAATTATCAAACCTGTGAAAGAGGTTATGGGACCCCCAGTTTATAGGCCTTTTGGTCAACAGTATGGACAGAGATTTATGACCAGCATCTGAAATAAAAGCAATTTTTCGAGAGTGAGCCCTTAACTTGTGGGGTCTAACTTTCCGTAGTAGTTAGTGTCAGCATTGAACTGGAGTGTTGGCCACCCAGCTGGTGTGAAGAATTGGTTGGTGTTAGAAAACATCCCAGAGGCTGTAATTAGTGAGCATGTTCAGTCCTCTAACTTCAAAGAGGAGAAAATTATTGGGTTTAACATTCAGCTATTTTATGAGTGAACTTTCTCAGGAGCCTTCAGTGCTTTAACCCACAGGGGACTCATGGTGGGAGATTCATTCACCGACTAGCTTTGGTTTAGGGGAGGAGAGGGACTTCTGACTCCATTAATCTCATTACTTCAGCAGCACCTACCATGCCCCTCTTTAGGGCTGACCAGGACTCTGCCTTCTCACTCAGGAAGCATGGGTTTGTTCTGAATCATCTCTATCCTTCACCCCCTCCCCAAATCCTGCTTCATTTTCCCCACAGTCTTTCGCTGATCCTGGAGTTAGCCATCCTTCATAGTGACTGCTGCAAGTCCTTCCTGAAGCCGTCCCCTGCTCCCACTAAACCACTTGCCAAAGACATTTCCATCTGTTCTTACAGTGGGGTTGCTTTCTCCCTTAGAACCCTGACTTCCAAGTGGTAAAGAGGGCACAAGATGTGCTGGACCCTGAAACTAGGAAAAGGGGAATGATGGCTGTGCAACCATCCATTCACCACACATTTGCTGATTCCTGCCAAGATCTAAATCCTGCAGGAGGCCAGGTGCAAAGGCTCATGCCTATAATCCTAGCACTCTGGAAGATTGAGGGGGAAGGACCTCTTGAGCTCAGGAGCTAAGACCGGCCTAAGCAAAAGCAAGACCCTGTCTCCATTACAAAAAAACCCAAAAACCTAGCCAGGTATTGTGACAGGCACCTGTAGTCCTAGCTACTTGGGAGGCTGATGCAGGAGGATCGCTTGAGCCCAGGAGTTTGAGGTTGCTGTGAGCTAGGTTGATGCCATAGTACTCTTGCAGGGCAACAAAGACTCTATCTCAAAAAAAAAAAAAAAGAATTTGGAGGGGAAATGCATTCTAGTCAGAAAGAACAACATAGACCAGGCTGAGCGCAGTGGCTCACACCTATATGATCCTAGTACTCTGGGAGGCTGAGGTGGGTGGATTGCTTGACCTCACATGTTTGATACCAGCCTGAGCAAGAGCAAGGCCTTGTCTCTAAAAATCGCTGGGCACTGTGGCAGGTGCCTGTAGTCCCAGCTACTTGGGAGCTGAGGCAAGAGGATCACTAGAGCCCAAGAATTTGAGGTTGCTGTGAACTATGATGTCAGGGCACTCCACCTAGGACAATAAAATGAGAATGAAATGGCGTGAAATGAGAGAGAGAGAGAGAGAGAGAGAGTCAAGAGCCTCAAAGGACTGGTCACAGCCTCAGCAGAATCCACTGTTATTGTAAGGATTACACAAGATAATATATGTCAAGAGCCTGCCTCAGAGTAAGCACTCAGTAAATGGTAACTATTATTATATTGTTATTATTGAATTGCACTGTTAGCCTCGCAGAGGGAACTGGCAGAGATTCCATCTGGGAAGAGGCCCTGCAGAGGATCTGTTAGCCAATGTTACATCTGGGCTGAGCTTTATTCTTTTGTGGGACTCTTTGGAGAATCTGATGAAAGCTGTGGACCCTTTCCCCAGAGAAAGGCACATCTGTTCACATGACGCTTTGCATATTGTCTCAGGGACTTCATAGACTCCTGGAAGCCTGTCTAGTCATAGAACTTGGTTGGACACAGCTGTTATTTGCCAAGCATGGCTGAGAAAAGTTCCCACTATTACCTCAGTATATTATTCCAAGGGAACCTCAGCTCATGTGTGATATTCAACTCTGAGAATATCCTGTGTGTTTTATTATTTTATTTTATTTTATGAGACAGAGTCTCCCTCTGTTACTCTGGGTAGAGTGCTGTGGCGTCATAGCTCACAGCAACCTCAAACTCCTAGGTTCAAGTGATCTTGCCTCAGCCTCCTGAGTAGCTGGGGCTACAGGTGCGCACCACCACACCTGGCTAATTTTTCTATTTTTAGTAGAGATGGGGTCTTACTCTTGTTCAAGCTGGTCTCAGAACTCCAGAGTTCAGACGCTCCTCCAGCTTCCCAGAGTGCTAGGATTATAGGCATGAACCACCTGGCCTGGCCTGTGTTTACTTGTCTTAAGCCCTCACTGGACTGTGTGCTCAGTGAGAAAAGAGACTTGGGTTCATTCTCTTATTTCCAGTGGAGGATACCAGCACATGGCAGGTATTTCATAAATATTAGGTAGAAAGTATGGCTTACTGAATTTAATGACAGATCAGTTGTCATTGTAGGGAAGCCTAGAGGATGACCTAGGAATTTCCACTCGTGTGATGGTAACCACCAAAGTGAATATAGGAAGTTAGGAGTGGGATAAAGATGATTAAATGTGTCCAGTTTGAGTGCTTTGGGGGTGCCTTGGAGAAGACAGTCTTTTGCTAGCAAATCCTTCTGATTCCCTCCCCACTGCGGCCCAGGTGAGGGGCAGACCTCTGCAGTCATCCATCTTGCTGGCATGCTCTTCGGAGCTTGTCTGTTCCCTGGGTTGTGAAACTTCATGGATCTGCAACAGTGCTGCAGGTCTCCTCTCTGGCTCCCAAAGCCTCTAGGAGTGGTTTTACAGTCAGGGCTCAATAAATGCCAGTGGAAGGAAAGAAGGAAGAAGGAAACTGAGGCCACACACTTAAGAGGGAGGCTGGGATGAGGAGCAAATCTGGGCATGCAAATGCAAATGGAAGTTCCAGTTGGAACCCCAGACCCTGGAAACAGGGTGGGCCAAGGAGTGCTCCAGTGTCCTCAGGAGGCCAGGCACCCTCCGCCTGACACTGAGACTTTATTGTTCTTACTTTGTTCACGAGAAAACTGAGGTCCAGAGAGGTCACGCGATTTGCCCAAGGTCACACAGCCAGTGAGCAGAGAAATAGAGATTTGATCCAGAGCAGTCAGTACCCAAGCCTGCACTCTTCCCAGGGCACTCCCTGCCTCTCCTCCACCCTCCACCTCCTTGCCCCTTCTCCCCACCCTCCAGCTACTGCCCCGCCCCACTCTTCCCCTGCACTTCCCTCCCCTCCCTCCTCTCGGTGGCGGCCGCGGAGCCACGTGGTGGGGCCGGGAAGCTGCGGCGGCCGAGTGCCCGGGCTGCTGCCCCAGCTGGGCAGTGCTGCTGTGCGCCGCGCCGCGCTCGGTGCCCGCTCTCCCCGCCCTGCGCTCCCCGCCAGCCGCCCCGGGGCAGGAGGCGCGCCTGACGGCCGGCCCGCCAGACAAAGGAGGCGCGGCGCGGCGGAGCCAGCGCGGGCGGACGGACCATGGACTCAGAGCGCGGCCGGCCGGCCCCAGCCCTGGGGACCTGCCGCTTCCGAGCCCGGCCCTAGGCTCCCGGCCCCGCCGCCCGGGGCGCCCAGAGGGGAGGACGCGGCGCCCGCCCCGCGCGGAAGAGGCGGCGGCTGCTGAGCGAAAGGGGTCGCCTGGGCGGGCGGCCCCTGCGGCCCCCGGAGCCATGGGCAAGTGCAGTGGGCGCTGCACGCTTGTCGCTTTCTGCTGCCTGCAGCTGGTGAGCGCCACGCGCCCGGCGATCGGGGCAGGGTGGGGCACGGCGGGGCGCGGTCCCGGGGCGTGCGAGTGGGGTGTGTGTCTTAGTGTGTGTGTGGTGCGAGTGCCCGCGTAGGGGGTGGCCTGGAGTCACTGAGCACCGGGCGGAGCCTGCTCTGCTGGCCGGGCTGTCTCTTTGTGTGCGCTTCTCCCCGCTGTACCCGACGCTCCCCAGGTCCCTGAGTGCGTCCTGTGCGCGAGTCCCCCTGCCTGCTGGACGGACGCCTGGGGCGCTACGCGTCTGACCCACTCTGTACGAGTGGCCTCCTGTCGCGGGATGCGCTTTGGGACTGTGGCTCTCTAGGACTGGGGGTGTGTCTGGGGCAGGTCTGTGGATCCGCTGAGGTCCCTGCCGTGGGTTTCCCTCTAGATCGCTGGTTTGCTTGGGTCTTCCTCGGGTCTCCGGTCTCCGCCCCAGTGTGAGTGTTTCTCACAAAGTCTGTGCCCCTGTCTCTTTCTCGGTTTCTCTTTGGTGTGCCTCTAGACCTCTGACCATTGCTGGTCCATATTCAATCTGTGTGTGCTGGGATCTTAAAGACTCCAAAAGTGCTCAACCCTCCTTTGTGCTATTTCTCCCTCCCTTTACCCTGCTTGGCTGGGCAGTCCAGAGAATAGCAAGCCACCTCTCAGGAGCCGGTCACGAGGAGCTGCCAGGTCCTGACCCAGCCTGGATCACCCTGCCTGCTCTGGTCTGGCCACTGTGGCCATGGATGTTCCATCAGTCATCAGAGTCACCAGGGCAGCTTCTCTGCCAGGGCTGGCACCAAAGGGGAGACACTTGGGTGCCCTGGGTAGGCAGGGTCAATACATCTAAGGACACTGTGCGTAGCCGCAGCAGGAGGCCTTATCCCAGGAAGGCAGGAGAAGTGAATTTGGGGGCTGAGGGGAGCCACCTCTACCTTTCAAGTCAGGCCAGGCAGGTGAAGGAGAGGTCAGGGTTCTCCCGCCTGCCCTAGAGCTGAGGGTCAACACTACAGGGTAGAAACTGTTTCTCTTCTGGACAGAAGCGCATGGGAAACTCCATGGTAACGCTCAGGTCCAAGTATGAGTGGGGACAGCCTGTGCCTCGCTCATGCTGGACTCCTCGCTCTAGGTCTCCATTCTTGCCTGCATCCGTCGCCTCCTCCCATCACAGGTGCCAACAACAATGCAGAGTGAAGCTTTGAGCCTGGATGTGCAGACCTCCTCATTCATCTTGCTTCTGTCCTCTTGGGGACACCAGCTCCAATCCTGCTATCCACAGACTTAGCCTACTGGGCAGTGGTAAAAATAGCCCCAGCTCTGAAGATGGTAGCTTTGCTGCCAGCACAGGGAGACTGGGCAAGTGACTTCCCCTCACTGGGCTGCCTCAGTCTGCTTGTCTATAAAATGTTCATCCCTGAGGACTGCAGAGGGGATTAATTAAGAGCAGGTAGAATGGAACCTCCAGAAGGGTAGAGGTTGTCTGTCTTGTTCCCTGCTAAATCCCTAGCAGCTGAAGCAGTGCCTGACACTCCATTAATATTTGTAAAATAAATGAATGAATCAGTTACTTGGCAACTCTTAGCTCACACTGGAAACACCCTCCTTTATCTATACTGAGGAAGGTAAAATGCCAAGAAATGTTAAAAGATTTCAGAAAATTCGGTTTCTGTGTTTGTTAATTCTTTAATTTTATTTTATTATTCTTTATTATCTTTTAATTTTTATTTATTTATTAATTTCTTGAGGCAGAGTCCCACTTTGTTGCCCTCGGTAGAGTGCCATGGCATCATAGCTCATAGCAACCCCAAACTCTTGGCCTCAGGCTCGGCGCCTGTGGCTCAAGCGGCTAAGGCGCCAGCCACATACACCTAAGGTG